GTAGAGTGCTTGCCTTGAGCTTGAAGAGCTCAGGGATAACTCCCAGGCCCAGAGTTCAAGCCCGCCCCCCCCCCCCAAAAAAAAACTCAGGGACAGCCATGCCCTGAGTTCAAGCCCCAGGACAAGCACAAAAAGAAAGAAAGAAAGAGATTGTGGAACCAATGTAACAGCAATATTCACAAGACACTATGTTGGAAATGAACTTTATAACTTAGTGGGAAGGGGATTTGGGGGGAGAGATAGCGGGAGAAAATGAGGAAGGGGCTAATACTGTTCAACAAGAAATGTATTCATTTCCTTATGTAACTGGAACTCCTCTGTATATTACTTTTACAGTAACTTTTTTAAAAAAGAGAGGTTGTGATTAAATACACATATATGAAATTTTATCATTTTAGCTGGGCATTGGTGGTTCACGCCTGTAATCCTAGCTACTCAGGAGGCTGAGATCTGAGGATCACTGTTCATAGCCAACCCAAGCAGGAAAGTCAGTGAGACTTTTACCTCCAATAAACCACCAGAAAACTAGAAGTGGCGCTGTGGCTCAAGTGATAAAGTGCTAGTCTTGAACTGAAGAGCTGAGGGATGGCGCCCAGTGTTCTTGTCTTGTTCTGATTTTAGAGGAAATGGTTAGTTTGTTTTTTAACAGTACAATGGCTGTAAATTTATCATCTATAGTCTTTATTATGTTGAAATATGTTCCTTCTATTCTTAGTTTTTCTGGACCTTTTTGTTTGTTTTGTTTCTGTTTTTGGGTCCGGTCGTGGGGCCTGAACTCTGAGCCTGGGTGCTGTCCCTCAACTCTTCAGCTCAAGGCTAGTGCTCTACTACTTGAGCCACAGCACCACTTCCGGCTCTTTTCGTTTTTTGCTTATGTGGTGCTGAGGAATTGAACCCAGGGCCTCAGGCATGCAAGGCAAGTGCTCTACCACTGAGCCACCTTCCCAGCCCGTCTGGACCTTTTTTTTTAAACTTTTATTTATTTTTTTTGGGGTCCGGTCGTGGGGCCTGAACTCTGGGCCTGGGCACTGTCCCTCAGCTCTTCAGCTCAAGGCTAACACTCTACCACTTGAGCCCAGCACCACTTCCGGCTTTTTTCTTTTTTCTTATGTGGTGCTGAGGAATCGAACCCAGGGCCTCATGCATGCAAGGCAAGCGCTCTACCACTGAGCCAACTTCCCAGCCCCCGTCTGGACCTTTTATAATAAATGATTGTTGGAGTTTATTGAAGGCCTTTTCTGCATCTTTGAGGTGATATGTGACTTTTTTTTTTTTTGTGGTGGGTTGTGGAACTTGAACTCTGGACTTGGGTGCTGTCCCTAAGGTCTTCAGCTCAAGGCCAGTGCTCTACCACTTGAGCCACAGCACCACTTCTGGTTTTCTGAGATAAGTGTCTCATGGACTTGCCTGCCCTGGCTGTGGCTGGCTTTGAACCGCAGTCATCAGATTACAGATTCCTGAGTAGCTAGGATTACAGGCATTAGCCATTGGTACCTGACTTTTTGTTTTGTTTTGTTTTTTGTTGTTGTTGGTTGTGGGGCTTGAACTCTGGGCCTGGGTGCTGCCCCTCAGCCCTTTAGCTCAAGGCTAGTACTCTACCACTTGAGTCACAGGGCCACTTCCAGATTTTTTTTTTTGTCAGTTATAGGGCTTGAACTCTGGGCTTGGGCACTGTCCCTGTGCTCTTCAGCTTAAGATGAGCACTCTACCACTTGAGCCACAGCTCCACTTCTGGATTTCTGGTGGTTTATTGGAGATAAGAGTCTCAAAGACTTTCCTGCCCAAGCTGGCTTTGAACCACAATCTTCAGATCTCAGCTGACTGAGTAGCTAGGATTGTAGGAGTGAGCCACTGGTGCCTGGGGCGTGTGTGTATATGGGGTGGGGGGGGGGGGGATATCTCAGGGCTTGGGCACTGTCCCTGAGCTCCTTTTGCTCAAGTCAAGCATTCTACCACTTTGAGCCACAGTTCTACTTCCTGTTTTCTGGAGGTTAATTAGACTTTCCTGCCCAGGCTAGCTTTGAACCTGAATCCTCTCTTCTCAGCCTTCTGAGTTAGGATGACACCTGTGAGCCACCAGCACTGAGCTGATCATTTGATTCTTGTTTTGGCTCTGTTAATGTGGTATATTGTGTTTATTGATTTATGTAAATTAAATTAGCCTTAAATCTGGGATAAAATTGATTTCATCATAATGAGTGTGGTTCTCCCCTCCTCCCCCCCCCCCTCCCCCAGTCCTGAGGCTTGAACTCTGGGTCAGGGTGCTGTCTCTGAGCTCCTTTTATTCAAGGCTAGTACTGTACTGCTTGAGTCCCACAGCACCGCTTTCAACTTTTTTTCTGTGATTAATTAGAGATAAGAGTCTCTTGGACTTTCCTGCCCAGGCTGGGTTCAAACCTGATCCTCAGGCCTCTTGAGTAGCCAGGATTACACAGGCATGAGCCACTGGTGCATGGCTTGAGTGATTTTTTTTTTAATTAGTAGTTAAATTTTGTTAGCAAATATAGACCAGAGATTGGCCTATACCCACCTCCCCCCTCTCTCATTATTATAAAAATGATGTACAGGGCTGGGAATGTGGCTTAGTGGTAGAGTCCTTAGCATGCAAGAAGCCCTTAGTACCACATAAACAGAAAAAGCCAGAGTAGGCAGCTCAAGTGGTAGAGTGCTAGTCTTGAGCAAAAGAAGCTCAGGGACGGTGCCTAGGCCCTAAGGTTAAGCCCCAGAACTGGCAAAAAGAAAAAAAAAAAAGTAATATACAGAGGGGTTGCAGTTACATAAGTCAGGTGAAGAGCGTATTTCTAACAAAGGCTGGTGGCTCATGTCTATAATCCTAGCTAGTCAGGAGGCTGAGATCTGAGGATTGCAGTTCAGTGCCAGCTCAGGCAGGAAAGTCTGTAAACAAACACTCCCCTGCCCCCCTCCCGGTTGTGGGGCTTGAACTCTGGACCTGGGCCGTGTCCCTCAGCTCTTCAGATCAAGGCTAGCACTCTACCATTTGAGCCACATACCACTTGCAGTTTCTCGTGGTTAATTGGAGAGAAGAGTCTCACAGACTTTCCTTGCCTGGGCTGGCTTTGAATCGTGATCCTCTGATCTCAGCCTCCTGAGTAGCTAGTATTACAGGCGTGAGCCACCAGCGCCCGGCATCTGTGAGACTCTTTTTTTTTTTTTTTTGTCGGTCGTGGGGCTTGAACTCTGGGCCTGGGTGCTGTCCCTCAGCTCTTCAGCTCAAGGTGAACACTCTACCACTTGAGCTACAGTGCCACTTCCGGTTTTCTAGTAGTTTATTGGAGATAGGAGTCTCATGGTCTTTCCTGCCCTGGCTGGCTTTGAACCATGATCCTCAGATTTCAGTCTCCTGAGTAGCTAGAATTACAGGCGTGAGCCACCAGTGCCCGGCTTTGTGAGACTCTTATCTCCAATGAGCCACCAGAAAACTGGAATTGGCACTGAGGCTCAAAGAGGTAGTGCATTAGCCTTGAATGAAAAAGCTCAGACATAGCACCCAGGCCTTGAGTTCAGGCCCCACAACCAACCCTTCCCCAACCCCCCCCCCAAAAAAAGTACATTTCTTTTTGGATAATGTCACCCCTTCCCTCACTCTCTGCCAGTTTTTTCAACCATCCCACCCACAAGTCATATAGTTCATTTTCAGCATAGTGTCCAGTGAGTACCATTACTGCATTTGTTCACCTTTTGTCTATAGTTTTCTTTTTTCCTTGGGTCCCTACCTGGTTTTGAGGTTTCATAGAATGAGTTACTAGTGATCCTTCCATTTCTACACCATGGAAAAGTTTTTTTTTTTTTGCCAGTCCTGGGCTTGAACTCTAGGTCTGGGCGCTGTCCCTCAGCTCTTCAGCTCAAGGCAAGCACTCTACCACTGAGCCACCTTCCCAGCCCCCACCATGGAAAAGTTTGAGGAGTACTGGTGTCAGTTTTTTTTTTTTTTTTTATTAAAAATTTTTATTTATTTTTTATTGTGAAAATACTGTACAGAGGGGTTACAATTACATGGGCAAGATAATGAGTACGTTTCTTATCAAGCATTGTAGCCTTCTCCTTTGTTTCCCCTTCCCATCCCTTTCCATCCTCCCCCATCCCCCCCTGGTGTCAGTTCTTTAATGGTCTTATAGAATTTAGGTGTGAATCCCTTGGGACCTGGACTTTTCCCTGTTGGGAAACTTACTATTTCCTTGGTCTCATTGCTTGTTATAAGTCTAAGTGGCTTATAACTTCTTGTTCCACTTAGGCAGCTCATATGTCTAGGAATTTATCCATTTCTACAAGCTTTTCCATCTTCCTTGAGTATAGGTTTTGAAAATAGTCCCACATAATCTGTTGAATATCTTGGATGTTTGTTGCAACGTTTCCTTTTTCATCTCTAATTTTGTTGATTTGGGTCTCTTCTCCCCTTTTACTCATCAAATTAGGGATTTGTCAATCTTATTAACTTTTTCAAAGAACCAGCTTTTTGTCTACAGCCTCAGTGGTAGAATGAAGTTTCACTGATCTTCTCTCTGCCTACATGGGATTTGGTAGTGGGACGCTCACCCTGGTGGTGGTGGTAGGAGCCTCCATCTCTTAAAGTTCCACAGAGCCTTCCTCATGCAGCCACCCACATGATAGTAAGAGCCACATTTCTGTAGTGTTACAACCTTCTTGGCCCTCCTTTGAGAATGTCCAGGACTTGTGACTAGTAGGGCCTTACATTCCAAGTTTCTTTTTTTTGGGGGGAGGGGGGTCCTGTCGTGGGGCCTGAACTCTGGGCCTGGGCGCTGTCCCTCAGCTCTTCAGCTCAAGGCTAGCGCTCTACCACTTGAGCCACAGCACCACTTCCGGCTTTTTTCTTTTTGCTTATGTGGTGCTGAGGAATCGAACCCAGGGCCTCTGGCATGCAAGGCAAGCGTTCTACCACTGAGCCACCTTCCCAGCCCGATTCCAAGTTTCTTATATCTATTGCTACTTCCTCAATAGTCTCTCACCCTTTGGTTCCACAGAGCTGCGGTGCAACCCTGGGCAGTTTGCCTGTCGGAGTGGTGCCATCCATTGCATCCCCCTCCTGTGGCAGTGTGACGGCTTGGCAGCCTGTGAGGATAAGAGCGATGAAGCTGGCTGTCCAGGTGAGTGTGTGAGTGTACCTATGGCCCACTTGCTTGTCCTAGTTGATCAACATGAAGGGTAGAAAGGTGTGACCTGGTAATCTGTGTAGTCTCTACCTCTCTTTTTCAGAAGCCAAATTCCTAGCATAGGCCCTCAGTTCTCACGCTGACAGGGCCTGAGGTATGGGGGGTGAGGTGAAATGATGCCAGCCCTGGGATCTGGTGACTCCTAGAGGTGTGTGCCCTTGGTACCTCTCTGATCTTCTCCTTGCTCTGGCTCTGGCTATAGTCCTGATGATTTTGTCCTTGCAAACTGGCCTTGGCAGTCTTGGTGTGGGTTCCTAAAACTGTTTGACAAGGCCACAAAAAGTCTGAACTATTTGTTCTCAGCTTGGGATAGGTGGGAAGGATAGCTTCTTGTTTGTGTATGTGTATGTGGATAAGTGTAAGATACACATACATGCACATGCTTCATGATCATAGATGGAGCCAGGCTCTGGCTCACACCTGTAATCCTGGCTACTGTGGAGGCTGAGACCTAAGGATCATCGTTTGATGCAAGCTCAGGTAATAAAGTCCTTGAGCCCCTTATTTCTATTTAACCACTAGAAAACTGGAGGTGGAGCTGTGGCTTAAAGTGGTAGAGCACTAGCCTTGAGCAAAAAAGTTTGGGGACAGAACTCAGGTCCCGAGTTCAAGCCCCATGATCACCACCACCACCACCACCAACAACAAAAAAGATCACAGATAGTTTTCATAAAGGTTAAAGAGGAAGCTGAGTCTTATCTCAATTCAAAAATTCTGTCCTGAGCTTTCTAGCTCAGCTTTCAAATTCTTTCACTAACATATAATTCATCAATCTGATTTATTATTTTTATTGTTGTTGGTGGTGGTCATGAGGCTTAGACTCAGGGGCTTGAGTGCTGTCCCTGAGCTTTTTCTGCTCAGGGATATACTCTACCCCTTTGAGCCACAGCTCTACTTCGTTTTCTGATGATTAATTGGAGATGAGTCTCATAGACATTCCTGCCCAAGTTGGTTTCAAACCACCATCCTCAGATCTCAGCCTCCTAAGTAGCTAGGATTATAGATGAGAACCACCAATGCCGAGCTGATTTATCATTCTTTTCCCTTCAGTGGCTCAGCTGAAATGTTTCCTTTTCCCAACACATTAACAATAGCTTAGCTGCATGCTGCCTTTATTTCGTTTTGCTTTCCTCAAATTCCCTTGTTTTGTTTCTGTTTAGACAGACCTTGGAACCTTGCAAGGCTTGCCTCAGATCTTACCACAGTGAGAGTGTTTCTGTCCCTCTGGTTAAGTTGGCTTTTGCCAGCACTTGATCTGTCCTTACATGAGTCATTAGTTTTCCCCCTTTTGAGGGCCCACTCTTGATCTCTTCTTATAGTTTATAAGCTCCCAAGTACAGGAGACTTTCCCTCTTCCTCATGGGACCTGGCCTAGGGTTAGAAAGTATGCCCTACCACTATAGTGAGCCACATACCTCCTGCTCTTTTTTGTTTGTTATTTTATGGATAGATTATTAAACTTTTTGCCTAGGTTTGATTTCAGATTTTGATCCTCCTACTATGTCTTCCTACTTAGGATCACAGATATGTACTACCACACCTTGCCCTGGCTGTCCTTGAACCTCGGTCTTCCTGATTGCTATCTCAAGTAGCTAGGATTACAGTAGTGAGTCACCACTCACAGTTGAGCATGAAAAATGGGTGATATGAGCCAAAGTTAATACAATAGTACCTATAATCCCAAGCTGAGGCTGGAGGAAATTCAAGGCCAGCCTATGCTACATAGTAAGATCCTGTCTCAAAAAAGGAAAGGAAAAAAAAAAAAAAAGGAAAGAAAATGGGTGGTAGTGTGCTAGATTGCACTCTCAGCATCTTTCCACTCCTTTCTGGGTTCTTCTGTATTTCAGATGCTTTAGTGTGGCCTTGTTTGTGATTATTTGGGTAAATGCCCAGGAGTGAGATTGCTGGATCACAGTCGAGCTCTATGTTCAGTCTTTTGTTGTTGTTGTTATGGTTGTTGTTTTTATTTGTCTCAGGGCTTGAAATCTGGCCTGGGTGCTGTCCCTGAGCTCTTCAGCTCAAGGCTAGTGCTCTTTAACACTTGAGCCACAACACCACTTGCAGTTTTTTGGTGGTTAATTGGAGAGAAGAGTCTCACAGACATTCCTGGCCCAGATCTCAGCCTCCTGAGTAGCTAGGATTACAGGCATGAGCCACTGGTGCCCGACTCTTTGTTTAGTCTTTGAGGAACTTCCATACTGTTTTCCAGAGTGGTTGAACCAGTTTACATTCCCACCAAACAGTATAGAAGCAGAACCAACTTTGATATAAATAGAAATGAAAGATGTTTAGGTTTGTTCTTCTTGCCAGGTGCTGGTAGCTTACACCTTTAATCCTAGCTACTTAGAAAGCTGAAATCTGGGAACCACAGGTTCAAAGCCAGCCCAGATAGGAAAGTCCGAGAGACACTTTTTTTTTGGTCAGTCCTGGGGCTTGAAGTCTGTCCCCCAGCTCTTCAGCTCAAGGCTAGTGCTCTACCACTTGAGCTACAGCACCACTTCTGGTTTTCTGGTGGTTTATTGGAGATAAGAGTTTCTTGGACTTTTCCTGCCCGGGCTGGCTTTGAACTGGGATCCTCAGATCTTAGCCTCCTGAGTAGGTAGGATTACAGGCATGAGCCACTGGCACCCGGCCTGTGAGTCTCTTTATCTCCACTTAACCACCAGAAAACCAGAAGTGGCACTGTGGCTCAAAATGGTAGAGCACTAGCATTGAGCCAAAAGAGCTCAGGGACAGTGCTCAGATTCTGAATTCAAGCCCCACAACTGACAAATAAAATAAAAATTGTGTTCTTAATGCTAAAGATGGAACCAAGGGCCTCATAAATGCTAATGTATGCACTGCCACTGAGCTACACTCCCAACTTGTTACCTAGGCTTCTGTTTTATTGCTCACAACTGGCACCCTACCACCTGGGCTAGACCTCTGTTTCTGGCTTTTTGCTGGTTAATTGGAGATAAGAGTCTCTTGGATTTATTTTTGCCTAGACTATCTCTGAACTGTGATCCTCAGATCTTATCTTCTTTAGTAGTTAGGTGTGAGCCACTGCACCCAGCAAATCCTAACATATTTGATGGAAAATAACTTAAAGATTTATTGAGATATTAAAGAAGACTCAAAATAAATAGAAAATGTTCTTGGCTAGGAAGACTCATCATACTAAAGCTTTTTATATTGCTCTGTGGATTCAGTACATCTTCATCTAAACCTCCAAAGGATTTTATGGGAAATGTGACAAGGTGATTATAAAATGTTGGGAATAGTACAGCAGACCACTTCAAAGAAGGATGGATATAATACTTACATATGAGGATCAAAGTTTACATTAAAGTTAGCTTGGACCCCCCCCCCCCAAAAAAAAAGGAAAAAAGATTGGTGAAAAAAAAAAGAATTACATATTATATTTTATTGTCTTCTTGCTTTGTTCTTTAATCTGGAAGCCTTCTACAGTCAGTATTGGGAATAAGAATGAGTCTTTCATGACATGTACATACATTTTTTTTTTACTTTTTTTTATTGTGAAGATACTGTACAGAGGGGTTACAATTACATGGGCAAGATAATGAGTACATTTCTTATCAAGCATTGTAGCCTCCTCCTTTGTTTCCCCGACATGTACATACGTATACACATGCATATGTATATAGAACGTATGTATGTGTTTCTGTGCAAATAAATTATATGTATATATAACTTAAATATATATCATATATATAAGATATATAAGATATATATATATATGTATCTTATATATATATATATCCTTCCTCCTTTCCTCCCATACTAGGGCTTGAACTCAGGGCCTGGTGTTCCTCAGCTTTTTTTTGCTCTACCTCTTGAGCCATAGTTCCACTTCTGGCTTTTTGCTAGGTTTATTGGAAATAAGAGTCTTACAACTTCCCTGCCTGGGCTGGCTTTTTTCTTTTTTTTTTTTCTTGTCATTTGTGGGGCTTGAAATCTGGGCTTGGGCACTGTCCCTTAGCTCTTCAGCTCAAGGTGAGCACTCTGTCTTGTGAACCACAGCGCTACTTCCGGTTTTCTAGTGGTTTATTGGAGATAAGAGTCTTTCTTGCCTGGGCTGGCTTTGAACCATGATCCTCAGATCTCAGTCTGCTGAGTAGCTAGGATTACAAGCATGAGCCACCAGCACCCAGCGTGGGCTGGCTTTTGAACTGTGTGTGTGTGTGTGCATGTGTGCTTGTGTGCGTGTGCGTGTGTGTGTGTGTGTGTGTGTGTGCGTGTGTGTGTGCGCGCGCGCATGCGCATGCGTGCACGTATAAGTGGTGGTCTGGGCTTGTACTCAGGGCCTGAACAGTGTCACTGAACTTCTTTGCTCAAGGCTATCACTCTACTACTTGACTACAGCTCCACTTAGGCTCTTCTAAATTGTTAGTCTCATAGGCTTTCCTACCTGGGCTGGCTTCAAACCACAATGCTCAGATCTCAGCCTCCTTAGTAGCTAGTATTACAGGCATGAGCTACCTGGTGACATTGACATATTTGGAGAATATAGGCTGTGTTGTTTTGTAAAATCTCCTTAGTTTAGATTTGTCTGTTTGTTCACAATTTTTTTTTGTATTAAGCAGGAATACTACATGCCACATGCTACTTGGCATGAGGTTAGTTTGTCTTATTAATAACGATGGGTTTCTTCAATTGACTACACTAATATCTACTAGAAGTTACTATCATGAATATTATTCCCCTGTCATAATAAAAAAGCAGTTTGTGAATAGGCATTGAGAAAGTAAGCCGTAGAATAGTATTCGAATCCCCTCCCACCAAGTTATGTTCATTTGTATTGATGATTTTTATCTGCATCCACCTCAACAGTAATGGTTGAAAACCCATGATTTCTGTAATTGTCACACACACCACATTTTATAAGTGACACTCTGTTTTGTTTTGTCTGTTTTGTTTAGACAAGATCTCAC